TCTAGGGAAATAACAAGTAAGCCAAATGCTCCTACAGACCGAATATGTTAAACAAATACTAGTTGCAGTAGTCTATCTTGAAGTGCTGTTCTCATCTTCACTGTTATCAAAGGTAGCACCAGAATGGGAATCAGAAAGCAACACCATGCTCCATAATCCTTTTAAAAGAGTTAACAGAGGACACATCTCAATCTCCAGTCAGACTAGATGACCAGGGGGACCGTCATCTTTGCAGAGTGCAAACAAAGACGACTACAACAGGAATGTGAAATCTACTCTAACGAGGTGAAGAATTACAGCCTTTAATTAAAATTACTGGAAATTACATTGGGGGTCATTATGAGGCAGTATCCTGCAGAAATGAAATACAGTCTATGCTCATGAAAACCACCACGAATTTCAAAAATATCTCAAAAATTTAAAAAAGTTATGAAACCTGACTCCAACATTTGTTAATTTGCTGTTTCAGGGCTGAGAGGCTGCAAGACCTCCTTGAACAAAACCTGTTCTGCTAGAACCTCAAGTGTTCAAACCCAATATACCTGCAACAGAGTGAGCAGCAACGCTACAGCTCACTTTTCCTCAAAAGGGGTGGAGTTTTTTGGTAGTTACTGTGTGAAAGAAGGAAAAAGAAGAAAATCTCAGACCTAAGCAAATTTTGACTATGCAACAGAATTCCACAAGGTTCCAAAGAAGTACTGTGACTTTTGGTATTGTTGCAACAGACAAAATGTTGTCAAGTCTGGTGTACTTCAGAGTGCCAAAAAAGGTTTTCCCTGAAACTGACAAAGTGAAAAATCTGCGGCTTTGATTTCTCATTCTTGTGTTTTACTTCACCAGCTTGGATCTCTGCTTCTTCACAGGGCTCTACATTAATATTTGTTGTGGTGCAGCTCACTTGTGCAGCAGTATTATCTTAAGAACCTACTCCAAGGAAACTGTATTTTATAATTTAGACTACCGTTTTGTGACTATAAACGTCACTGACTAGTTTAAACCTAAGCATTTTAAGCACTTAATAGATAAATTTCCCCAGAAGAGGAAACATCAGTAACTGGTATTTATATGCCACTAGTTCAGAGACTACACACAGTCACATTACAAATACAGCACAAATGCAATGCAGGGGAACGGGGGCAGTGTGGCTGAAGGACTACTTGAGCAGCCTTAAAGGAAACGCCTTCCCTTAAGAGAAAAGGTACCCAAACATCTTAGAACACGTTCCCTCCCCCTAAGACTCTTAAACACACATGATAATAAAAGGATAAATATTAATATAGAGCCCATCTACCAAAAGAGAATAAAAAAACCTAAATTAGAATAAATTTAGGGGCCTTCACCAAACTTGCTGCAAGTTTGGGGACATAAATATCCAACAGCCATAAAGCTGTGAAAGCCCCCAGAATGAAGAAAATAAATCCCACTTGCCTCAGACTGAACAGGGCAACACTGAGACTCTGCCTCAGCCTGTCCTATGGCAGGGCTATAGGAAGAAGAAAAATTTAAATTTTAGAAAAAACATGACCCAATTAAGTGAAAGACATGCATTCAAAGTTAACAAAATTCCAGTGATCAAGCAAGTGAAAGAAAATGACTGCTGTAACACCTATGTTGTTAGGCCCAAACAAAACTCTTTACAGTTGGTAGCTATTTCTGAATTGGAAAGTTTGTTTTGCTTTGTGTCTTGATCAATGGAACATGTGTCAGTTGTCTTGGGGCATTTTTCCCATAACCGACAGTATTTACTGTACTAGTTCACAAAAAGTAGAGGTAAAGATTCCATCAGCCACCGAAAATGTTCACCCTCACCTTAGGTTTTATGTAGAAGCTAGACCAGTACAATTATTAAGACATTCACTATTATTTTTCAGTGTTACTAGTTACCATTTTGAATTGTAGCCCCAGCTCATGGACTGGTACATCAGTCTCAATTTAGCTGAAGAGTCATAATGCCCTTCTAGCTGTTTATAAAACTGAAGTAATCTTGGTATTTTATTGTTTATCTTCTGTACAGGATTGATTCCTATAAAATAACTGCAAGTTATATAATCCATTCAATTTTATCCAGGTTTAAAGAAAGTTATACAGTTCTTTGTAAGTCCTGTTCAAGAGCTCCACACACTAAAGTAACTGCAGAAACCACAGAAGGTAGATGCAGCTGAATGTGTTTCTAGAAGCTTGTTTATATTCTCCCATGCATGCACAGAGCGAGGAATAGTTATCCACTGAAATTATTACATCCCAGCCTCAAATTTATTATCAGCTCCTCAAAATCTCATCTGTGGAAAGAAAAAAAAAAAAGAAACCCACACAAACAAAAAACCGCCAACAAATAATCCAAGGGGTCCAGAAGAAGACATTTTTAACCTACGTAAGCCAGCTAAATTTTCAAGATGTTATTTAAAGCAACTGTTGCCGAAGGCAGAATCTTAAGGCAGCACGGATCAGTTGCATGTGACTTTTTTATACCACTGCCCTTCTGCATTAAAAATAAGCAGATAGAGAGGAGCCTCTCACAGTGATACTGAGAGGCCATGCATAACAATTTAGAACCTTTTAAACAAACCCTAGAGGCCACAAATTCTAAATACTTTGCAAAACTACCTTCCCAACTCTGTGTGAACGTTTTCTCACAGCCCGGGTTCTTTTTGTACTCAACATTCCCATTACACTGCAATTTAAAGACTGCTCAAAATCCAAGTTTTAATTTTACTTTGAGATCTGCCATGGCAAATTTTGGCAACAACTGAAAAACAAAGCTTCTCCTTATGTAATTATATCACTAGAGTCCTGCAACAACTATAAAAAACTATATAGTTTTTCTATAATGATAAATGCTTCTGCAATATCTTTCCAGGGAGAGATTAACTAAAGCAAAAAACTGCCTGCAAGGTGGCGTTACATTAAGGATTTTGCTGGCACAACTGTTGATTAAACTGTGTACTGTAAAGAAAGCCTCAGTTTTTATACAAACAATTACTACTCAGAGTAGTTGCCCTCTTCTTTGGGAAAACGCACCATAAATCCAACTCTCTGAACATTAAGAAGCAGTATGCAAAGGAACGAAGGCAGGGACCAACAGACAACATATGCACTGAAATACCCGCCTGTTCACAGAAGAGTACAGACAAGAGACGCAGGAGGAACTGAAGACAGCCACATCACAGTTCTGACAGCACAGAAATGACAGGAGCAGGAAAGTCAGTATCCACGGGAAAAATTATGGAAAAATTGTTCACCTGCTTGCTAAAGAGTATTAGAGTACCATATGAATCATATGTGGCAGTACTTAGCTGAGAGATTACCACATTACTGCTAAGGAAAGTTCAATCTTAAAACGTATCCAATCGTACTGTCGCCAACAATGAGACATTCACTACCTGAAACGGGAAACTCTTATTTAACATGACTTGCAGAACATGCTGAGTTAACAGTACATGCAGTGAGGTTTTTGGGTATTTATGCCAAGAAAAGGAGGGGTCTGAAAACAGCATACCAACGAGCTACAGAAAGACACCGAGAGTAGGGTATTTACTTTACTAGGGGCAGGAGGGTAAAGCATCCTTGCAGCAGCAATATGATCTTCTGAAAAAGCAAAAAATTCTATCATTTTAAAACCACAAGTTAAGATCAATTTAGAATGTATGAATTTTACGTGTAGTACTACAAAAAAGATCAATGTAAGGCACTGTAAAAATCTCTCCGGTGTTTTGTAATTGTCCCTGTTAGATAAACAGAAGAAAACCAGAGCGTAGTAGTGTTGCCTCAGCAAAACCATTTCAAGTTAGCCTTACGTACAAAGCAAGATGAAGAGCTAACAGAAGATCTGACATCAAGGCCAACTCAGCACACTGGCAAGCCAAATACTGCACACTGACAGGTGATCAGCAGACACCAGTGATCAGGGAGAACTGCTTCTCAACAGAGGCTTGGAGTTATGGTCTTAAACTGCTAAACACTCCAGAAAATGTGCCTGATAATGGTTAAACTAAGGCCATTCAGCTGTAATTAGGGAGTACTGGATGTTCCAGTGCTTTTACGAGCCATTCCATGACCCCAAGTTGGAAGCTGAAAGACAGTGTAGTATCGTACAGCACTGTATTTCTGAACTGTTAAGTGACAGTACAGAATCAAGCCACACGGAATACTGAAGCGCAGCTAAAAAATGCCAAGATTTTAAAGAAAAAGAGCCACAACGTTCAGTCTTATATTCAGTGAAAACACTCTACCATCAACAAAAACGTGTGGAACAAACCCATAAAAAATGCTGATAATCTTTCTAACCTACCCTAAATGGGAGATATCCCCATAAAGTAAGTTGCACAGATAAGGCTTGAGGCTGGAACACGTATTTAAAGTTGACCTGCAAATGAAAAATTCACCACTCCTTTTTGCCCCCTGCTGTGAAGATCAGAAAGCTCTCACTTCCCTCCAAAACGTTTGCCTCTACATTTTCACTCTCAGAAAGATAGCACACTAACATGGTGGTAATACACACTGAGAGTTACAACCCTGGCAGTAATTTATCACTCTGTTCTTCAAACAGCTAAATGACTAATCCATATGGGGAAGACCTCTCGGAATTAGGAGACTGCATAAAAAGGCCTCTTACTCTAGTCTCTTCCATTAAATGGCTCAAGAAAATCAGCCAACATCTGATCACAACACACAACGGACAGTTCAACTTTTAAACTCTGTTGAGATCTGAAATTCTGAAGTTAAAGCAAAAATACAGCATATAACATACTATTCTTGCCCCATCTCTCTTTTATACACTGAGAAGGTGGTCAAGCTACTTTTTCTCTTTTGCAGGTCAACTTCAATACAACATCAACTGGAAGTCACTCACCCATGTGACATGCACCTAAGCTTCTAGAAATCTTCATCTAAAAAGCTCCTGAGCACTTGCACATTAAAGTCAGCTGAGGAATGAACTAACAGGACATATCTGGCACTAGGATGCATCTTAGAGCAACCACATTTATATCCTAAAAGTTACGTGCCAGGACTAGAAAGCATTTAAAATGTACTGAGGACAAGAAAGCACAAATAAAGAAGCACTGGCATTAAGAGAAGTTACAACCAAGAGTTAAGATGTGCCTCCTGCAGTCTCATTTTTGAGGAGTCAGTTAATAAGTGTACAGGTCTTTGTCTACTCAGACGTACAGCTAAGGAGTGACTTAATTTAGAACAAGGAATTCAGGTTTTATCAAGACAGCACCAATAACTGTGTTCTTACACCAACAGCTACCACAGCATGCATCTGTACAAACCTTTCAGGCAGTTGTCCACAGCTGGTCATGAATAAAAAGGCATATAAATTTTTCTCTTCTTTTATTACAATGAAGTTTATAACAGTACAGAAAAGTCACACGACCTTAGTGGGTCAGTTTACTTAAACCCTGAAACAGAAGGAACTCTAAATACATTAAATATTGTTACAAGTTCAGACTTAAATGTACAAGTAGTTGGGAACAGTTACAGCCCTCACCAAACTATGTTGGGGACACGAAGTCCAACAGCACTTGAAGTGCTGTGAAGGCATCATTTCACAAAGAGCAACATAATGTTACAGAACTTGCCTTTAAGGTGGTATGTTCATGTAATTCCAGCGCCTTCACAATTTAACGAACCATATTTACTATACTTCACTTCTAAAAACCTAGATGAAACATGAAAAAGAAGCCATACAGTATAAATTGCAACATCAGGAAAAGTTCCTGTTATTATTCCAAATAATTTTTCCCGTGTAAAATAAGAATGTCCAATAGCTCCTTGCATGTGGGAAGATACTTATTTTTTTAAAGTCACAATGAAGCCTTAATTGACGGAAGCTCGGCTATATTAACAGCACAAGATGAGAAAAGGTTTAATCTCCAAACCTATTAGAGCGTGTGTAGTAGCATCAGTAGCGGCCACCTTGCGACATTACAGGAGGTCTCATTCCCATTGGAGGTCGAGGAGGTCCACTTTGGTAAGGGGGCACCATCGGAGGCCCCTGACCGTAGGGAGGCATCGCCCCAGGAAGGTATCCTGGCATGCCCTGGTGATGAGCACCATACTGACCTATAAACAGAACAGTTACGATGCAAAGAGTAATTTTTTTTTAAATACTTAGCAGAGGTTGCATCTTGTGAAAAGCCTCATCCACCCCCACCAGTATAAGCCACTTCAAGTTTTATAAAAGTTTATAGCAAAGACATCTCTTTTCAAGAAAAGAAAGTTGGGAAACTTCTGATTACCATGAGGTGGCATGGGAGGTCTCATTCCTTGCTGCTGTGGAGGAATTCCTGGCTGTGGTGGCATCATACCTCCAATTGGTCCAACTGGTGGATTACCCAAGGAAGCTTGTCCTGGTCGAGGAAGATTACGCTGATATTTAGGCAACTGTGCCCTTCTCTCTTCCTAAAACGAGGAAAAGACAAACACGACACTTTGTAAGACTAAAAGGCACCAAAAGCAAAGTAAATAGAAGCGTAACAAAGTAGATTACAGGTACTACACTATTTCAACTGCCTTGCAAGTTCGAAGACTGCTACTAGTAATAATACACACCAGCACTTGGACCTTCCCCCTCCCTCCCTTCAAAGCTACTCTGTTAGTACTGGCCATTGTTGCACACAACACAACTTCACCTCCCTCAGCTGAAGAAAGCCTTTTCCTCATAGTGAATTGAGACCAAAAAGCCAAACACCAAGATATCTGAACCCAAATGAAGGTTCATTTTTTTCAATCCATAAATTCTGTATTTCTGACGGCTGTAATAGCACCAAGACCCCTTCCAACTGTCAAGTCTTTTGTCCTACACTCATTAGCTGCATCTATTTAACTTCAGGCAGAAAAAGTCCAAATGGTATTATGGACTGAGTAATCTATCACTTCAGAGATCTGCAGCAGGATCACTGCAATATGCGAGTCATCACTCTGCAACCGAGGAAGTTGTCTCAAGGCACAGCTCTGTTCAATTAAGTCTGCACACTCCGCACTCTCACCGTTACTGAAGTACACATAATGCAGAGCACAAAGAAATGCTGTTTAATCAGCCATATGAGCATAATCATGTTTTTTGCAAGACAACAAATATCTTTTAACTTACCAGTGATATGTCCTCATCTGGATGGATCAACTTACTGGTTGCACTGGTTGTTGTGAGGGTAGCAGGCTTACTTGTTATCGATGTAGCTGGCTTAGCCGCAGTACTGTTTGTCGTGCTAGTGGTTGAGGCTGTAGACTGTGTGTAAGCAGGGAATGTAGGTTTTGGGGGCTCTGTTGTTGTTGCAGGTGTAGAATTCAAAGGTTTGAAATCGGTACCAACCGGACCTGGAACCGCTGCTGCAGCCTGTGAAACACAGACATAGATCAATATTTATTTCTCAAAGCATAAGGAAGCTTCAATGAGTCTGTTAGAACTCTGAAACCTTCCAGTGAGATACATAATTAAAACAAGCTTGACAAAATAAAGTTCAGCCTTATTGCATACTAAAGCAACTGAAAACAAGACAAAATAAACCCCAGTATATACACATACACACACACACACTGGAAAGTCTAAGATTTGCAGGTCAAAAGCCACAGCTAGAAAAAAGGAACAACCACCACTCCTCTCCCCACCAAAATTTTTATCTGAAATACTGGGTTTGGTAAATAACTAAATCTTTCCTGAATCACTGTTTTATTAAGAGCGTGTAAGTATAAATTCATCGTTTGCTCACTAAATTATTAGCATACTTTAGAAACAATTAGAGTACAGCTCAAAGTGTTAGTATCCATTAAAATTAGGTATTTAAATATTTAATTAAAACATTTCTTAAGAAAGCTCTATCGTACCGGGTTTGTTTTAAGCGTTCTCTCTATCAAAATACTGTGATATTTTCAGAGGACTGTGTCTCTCTATAGATCTTTGGAGTCACTTGTAAATGAAGAATCAGCTAAAGGCAGATACAAGATCCACTACAGATTACAGTATCTCATCCTTCCTACTTTTTCTTAAGTTAGCTGTTAGGTAAGTTTGCTTTATCAGACTTTCTCTGAAGATGCAGCAATCTCCAAAGCAAGCTTTAGTTACAAGAGAATGCTTTTGTTTCTAGTCACTCTGCACTCCCAATTATCTGAACTTCCCAATCAAAGTATCTAAATTTTTGAACGTAATGCAAATTAAAAAATTCCCTACGTTATGATGCACCATATTAAACAATAAACTAAAAAGCCTTCACCATGCATCAAGCTAACCACTGCCCACTAAAATGCATTTAACTGCTTTCATGCTTTTTTAACCCTTTAGAACCAGGATGTAACATTTCACTCTTTCACACTAAGAAAAATTGGGCACTTTGACTTGCTTATTTCTAGTAAGATGTAACTCACACTCAAGAAGTCTGTGGTTTTACCAGCTAAACGTAATCAGGAATATCACAGAAATTATCTGAAGATGTTTAGTCAATTTTAGATTTTACGGAACGGTCCAAAGGGTTAAGTTGCAAAGCAATTTGTTTTTAACTGTGACTTCCTGCGTACTTGTGCTGTGCTAGGAAACAGAGCGTTAGAAGATGCTGACAGACTTTCTGAATTGGAGGAAGCTGTACTTGAGCTTGTGACAGGTGTCCCCATCTGTAGCATAAAAGAAAGGAAACAGTGAAAAGTCTCCAAACAAATGGGTGGAAAGCATCCAGATGAAAGGATTTCTTATTCTAAGTCCTTTTTTTATGAAAGGACTGTGGTTTTGTAATCTTCCCTGCAGAAGTCCAAAATGCAAATACTACACTATGAAGGTTTCTGCAACATACTTGAAAGCAACTAAAAACTTCAGGACTTATACACAAGTGCAATCAAAGGGTAGAGGTCACAAGCCACTACTAATTCCCCACTTCCCTCCCCAAAACATTTACACAAGTTTTTGCTACCTCAACTTACTCCTATACTTTTAAAGTAAAAAAGCCTCCTAATTCAGGCAATTCTTAACCAGTCCCACAAGATTATAAAATAAATTAGTCCATACATCAGTAGAGAGCCCATTATGAAAAGAACAGGAGAGAACAAGTCATGTCTGGATTTATACTTTGGAAACTTTAGGTAATGTTCCATGCGATCAGATTCCTGTAGCTAACACATCCCTTCACCCACCCAAAGCACCCTTACAAGCTACAAACTAAAGGGATTAAAGAAAGAAGTGTTTTGCCTACTCCTTTCTTCCCCACATGCTTACAGAACTTCTGTCTGGTTTCATGGCTGTTACAAGACAAACAAAAGAATCTTTTAAAATTCATTCAAGCACTACACTGATTTAAACTTAAGAATGAACACAAGCAAGAAACTCAGCCAGTCATTTCTTGGGCCTCCCTCAATAATAAAGAACAGACAGTGCTGACACAGTGGCAATTTGCAGAATATACCAAGAGATTCCAGGCTATTCGATACCTTACCTGCCCTGCACTTGGGAAGAGTGGTTTAGTAACAGGAGGCTGGGGGGTAGGTGCCGATGCAGCAGGAGCTGGAGGTCTGTTAAGAATGCCCGGTGCTGTAACAGGTTGTGCTTGTGTCATTGGAGGCATCCCGGGACGAGGACCAACAGGCGGTGGCATACCTGCAAAGCACAAAGAATCTGTAGCAAATCAGGCTGAAGGAAGTAAGAATATTCCTCTAGAGGAATCTGGTCAGTGTTCCTTACAACAAAGACTTCCACAAGGAAGATTTTTTTTTAAGGCAATAGTGTAATAAAACATGACAAAGGGTAATGCCAGCAGTCACCAATGAATGTCCCTGCATAGCCAGTAACCCCAAATACTTCAGAGCAATACTGAGTTTCTACTACAGCTTCAATGATTATACTCTAAATACATCAATGCAGTTCATGCAGTAACTGTTTCCAACACGCTGCATCTACGCTGCCAAGCGCATGGACAAGACTCCTACAAAATCCAAAAGATGCAGCCATACGAACAGTATCAGAACTTTCACCGAAACACAGATCGGCCTTGCTGCGGGTCTTCAGCACAGGGGAATGCTAACACGAGGCTACTTTCTGTAGCCTATCATCAACACAGGTACTTCGTATGTGTGGGGCTCTAGGAGAGGTTCACAGAAGTCAGCAGCTCACATGGGTTCCACCAGCCGACTCTGCAGGATAACCAGGCCATCACTGACCTAGTGGCTTGCCACCTCCTCCAGTGAGAAATGCAGCAAACCAGCAAATCTGAAGCCGTGACAGCGTAGCTGCTGGTCAGGTGGAACACCCCCAAGGACTTAAGGCTGCTTAAGAGCTGCACAAGCTCAAGAAACATCTCCTCTAGCTAGCGTATGAGACCCAGACTCCAGTTTGTTTCTTCACACAGATGGTTTGTGACTCAGGGTGTATCACCAACACTATTTCCCACTTCCCACAACGTTTTCAATCATGATTTTCCAGCTACATCCACAGACATTAAAGAAACGGATGAAGAGAGACACAGCAATACAAAAGCCACAGAAAGTGCAATAGGAAAACTATATTCTACTTTTTTACCTTCACAATGGTACCAAACACTAATAATTATTTATAATCAAAAGGTATAAATCAACCTCTTTGCGTGTGCACAAGAGAGGCTTCTGTGGCAATCAACCCACACAAAGGTGGTGGCATAAATCTGTATATTCTTTATATAAATCCTAAATCTCACTGAAAATAAAGAAATATAATTTAGCTCTCACCATAGTACGAGTTCGACAACCCTGACCTACCTGGTGGCATACCAGGCATAAGAGGCGGTATTCCTGGCCCAGGAGGCATCATTCCTCCCATTGGCATCATCCTGTTAAACAGAAAATGGGCAATGTATGAACACTCGTGACAAACTCTTCAGACAACTGGCACATACCTGTATTAGATAAAAACTTATGGTAAATTGTTTCAAGAAGCTTTCAATAGAGGCAATGCAAAACCAGCTGACTCCACAGGTAGAAATGTTTTCCATCAAAAAAACAAACCCCAACAACCCACCCCCAAAAAACCCTCACAAATACTTTTTATTTGAACTTTAATTCCTCAAGCTTTCACTTCCACTATTACCAGATTCCCAGAACTAGTGTCTCTCTTAAAATCTACTCCAGACTACTA